GTGCTCCCTGGCCCCTCTCACCTCCCCCCTCTTTTCTTTCTCTCTCCCTCTTTCCTTATCTTTCTCTCTATCTTTCTTTTATAATAAACTCATTTCCACGTGGATGCAGTGCCCGGGGTGTGAGTGACTGTTCACGCACTGTGGCTTCTTCCCGGAATATTTCCGTCACCCGCGGGACACCTTGGCCCGGCCAGCCAGGGCCTTCCGGGCACCATATCATAACACTGGGGAGGGTAACTCTGTGGGTAAAAGCAGTAGTGGGCAAGTAAGAGGCCCGGAGTTCAAATCCCCAGCACCTACATCAAAGCCAAACATGGCTCCACGAGCCTGAAACCCCTGCTTTGGGGACAGGCACATCCTCAGCCTAGCTTCAGGTTCAGTGAGAGACCCTGCCTCAAAAAATAAGATGGAGGATTACTGAGGAAGACACCTGGTATACTCTTCTGGCTTCACCTCTGCCTGTGCTCTCACAGGTACATCTGCATATGCGCGTATACTCTTTCCCCACACAAATAAGAGTGACTGAAGAAGACACTTGATGTTGATGTCTACCTTCTGCATGCAACACACACACACACACACACACACACACACACACACACACACACACACACGCACACACACACACACACACACGTGCACTACGAGCTTTATAGCAAGGTTTTCTGGTGATTTGAATGCATCTTACAGTTTGAGATGCACTGGCCTGAATCATATCCCAGGGCTTCCTTCCCCCAACCCTTACTCACCCCCCTCCCCCTCCCCCCCCCCCACCCCTACATCCTCAACCTTTTCTTCACATTAGAATCACCTGGGGAGCTTAAAAACATCCCTAAGATCATGTTGCACCCAGGCCAATTAAGCCAGCATCTCTGAAGTGGGACTGGGGGCACCTGTGCATCTTAAAAGCTCCCCAAGTGATGCTGTGAGCAGGCTCATCTGAGAACCCTTCTTCCAGCTCGAGGGACTGAGTCGGAAACATGCCTTACCCAGCCCTGACCTTGAACCCAGAAGGGATCGTTCTTCTTCCTCTGTGGCCACTCATCCACACCAACTCATCAGTCCAGAGAGCACAGCTTTGCCTCATCCAGGGTTCCAGGGTCATTCACTCGCCAGCTCTGGGAGCTGGCTGACTCCAGTGCTGTCTACACTCTGACTTCAGCTTGGCTGACTGTGGTTGGTGAAGGGTTGATGCAGGCAAAATTGCTGATCCAGGCACTGCTTTACCCCACTGGCCTAATTAGAGCAAGGTCCATAAGGACCTACTTCCTACAGTTGTGAAATTCCACTATTCAAGTCCTTTTGAATTAAATCCAGTGTCAAAAGCCCAGCAAACCAGTCTTCACTTTCTCTTCCAAGTCCATGGCAGACATCATTAATCAATGAGAGCTCTCTTTCTCAGGAACTGAGGTCCAGGCAGATCGGACATCCCAATGGGGGCGTAGAGATGGAGGCAATCTGCTTTCCCAGCATCAGCCTGTCTCCCAGGAAGATGCTCCTGGGGTAAAATTACCAAAACTTCTGGGAGAACACCTGCTCCTTGGCTGTGCTGAGGGCCAGCCAATCCTCTGTGGGGGAGAAAGGCAGCTGTGGGCCATTCCAATAACACAGAGCTTAGGGACCAGGGAGGCCTCACTGGCTCATGCACAGGGATGTGTGCAGTCTGGGGTGGAGGCTTGAACTCAGGCTATTATTGGCTTACCAAATTGCATCATTTTTAGAAAAACAACGGAGACCCAGATCCTGGCTCCCACTTGTCCTGGCCCAGATGGAAGGCAGCCAATGAGATGTGTGTCCAATAGCAGACACTGGAGGTCAAAAGATACTAAATGAATATGGCTCAGAGCATCTTCCAAAGAGTGTGCCAAGTTGGAGATGCAGAGAGAGGGCCCGAGGCATCTTGGCCTTAACTGTGTTTCATGATCCAATGCTCTTGCTGCTGAAGCCACCAACTTGCTTGTCTGTCTGTCTTTCTTCTTTTTGTTTGTTTGATTGTTCTGAAGACAGGGTCTCATGTAGTCCAGGCTAGCCTCCAACTTACTATGTAGCCCAGGCTGGCCTTGAATTTCCTCTCTTCCTGCTTCCACCTTCTGGGAGCTAGGATCACAGGCCTGTGCTCACATACCCAGGAACCTGTACATGTCTGTCCTACCTAATCTCTTACTTCCCCCCAATATTAGACAAATTCCAGGAGATGCCCCTTTGAACCTGGGAAGATCGAAGGGAGAAAACCTAGGCTATGAGTGATTGAGACATGGTCCAGGGAGCTTAGGCAGCTAAAGAAGAGCCCTTGCCTGCCTTCCCAGTTTTGTCCCCAGTGGCTGAAAAATGCTCCTGGCCTTTGCTGACAACTAAGGATAGAAAGGAAATGTGGGGCTGGTGGCATTCATGCTCTGTGTGCTATGCCACTGGGACTTGGGATCCAGTGAGCAGTTGAAATGTATGTGTGCATGCATCTGTGCTTATGTATGGGTGTGCACATTTTGGAATATCTGTATCCCTGTTCTGCCTGAGAACCCCTTTTGGGGTGTGGCTGCCTGTGTGGACAGGGGCCTGAATCTTTTATTTCCCAGGAACACTGTCTGTCTGTCTATCTATCTATCTATCTATCTATCTATCTATCTATCTATCAATCATCTATCTATCTATCTATCTATCTATCTATCTATCTAATCTACATCTATCTATCATCTATCTATCTATCTATCTATCTATCTATCTATCTATCTATCTATCTACCTTTCTATCTATCTATCTATCTATCTATCTATCTATCTATCTATCTATCTTCTATCTATCTACCTACCTTCCTATCTATCTGTCTATCTATCTATTTATCTATCTATCTATCTATCTATCTATCTATCTATCTATCTATCTATTTATCATCTATCTATCTATCCATCTATCCATCATCTATCTATCATCTATGTATCTATGTATCTATGTATCTATCTACCTACCTTCCTATCTATCTATCTATCTATCTATCTATCTATCTATCTATCTATCTATCTATCTCCCTCCCTATCTATCTATCTATCTATCTATCTATCTATCTATCTATCTATCTATCTATTTATCCTATCTGTCTGACTATCTACCTATTATCTGTCTGTCTGTATGTATGTATGTTTAGGTACATGTGCCATGGCACACATGTGGTAGTCAGAGGACAGTTTTGGGAGCTGGCTTTCTCCTTTTACCATGTGGGTTGGGGGACTGAACTCAGGTCATCAGGTACCATCTCACTGGCCCCAGGGTTATATATTTCTACACCTTTGGTATGGAGCTTAGCAGGGCCCCTCCTCTAAATGGCCACTTATCCAATAATAAACTGACTCCAGAGAGGCTGCCATATCCCAGAATAGCTTTAGTGAGGTTCTTGTTTCTCTCTAGTGACCTCTAATGTGCCCTTCTCTCATGTGGATGCCCATAGATACTCTGGGCCTCTCTCTCTGCTGCTGGTGCAGGCTCTTCTTTCTAAGAGAACAGCACTCACCTCCACTGACCTTGACCTCACTCTCCCCATGCCAACGGAGAGGCTTCTGCCTTGCTGTATTGTCCATCGCTGCCAGTCCAAAGCCGGATTTCAAAGCCAGCAGCATCTCACTGTGGTAGGCACTGGGGAGGCTGCGCTGCACCGAGTCCTGTTTCCACAGTCTGTGACGGTGTGGGATGGGCGACACACCCACCCTCCTCTCTCACCATCTCCTGGAGCCCCTGACTCCCCCTCTTGCAGCTGTGCCCTCTTGGCCTCCAGCAGAGTCTACCCTGTCTGGGTGGGTTGGCTGGTCAGGAGAATATTTATTTTAAGAGGCATTTCACCTGGGGTTGGGATGTGCTTGGCTCATTACCCATAAATATCAACTAACAGAAGAGAGCGGCCTCTGGGAGGAGAAATGGATGCTCGAGAGGGAAACTACAAGCTGATTTTATCCCGAGGGAGACGGAATGGGCCACTTTTGTGCCTGGCTTTTCCAGTGCAGTCCACAGGGCCCCTTGGTGCCAGGGCACTGCGCCATCTGGGGCTATGGTGCCACCTCTCCTCCATGTCCCTGAGAATCTGGGTCTGGCTGAGCCAACAGTCACCTAAACCCCACCCAGGATCCAATAGGGCAGAGGGGGCCTGTAGGAGAGAGGTGACTGAGGATCCGGGTAAGGAGGGCCTGTTTCCTGGGACTTCCTGGACAAAGTGGCTTTTGGAAAGGTCCTGTTGCAGGAATAAAAGAGAGGAAGGATACTCCAGGGGGGAACAGCAAATGTGAGGGTGTGGGGGCCTGCCTGAGAGGCCAAGGACCCTGTAGGGGAACCTGAGGCTGGTGGAGATATGTACTGAGAGAGGCCACATGAGCCCCTACCTAAAAAATAAGTAGTGTACTCCCACAAATTATATAAAGAGGAACCTCCCTGACTTGAGGGTAGGCCAGGGAAGCTACGCAGCCTTTCAAGATTTATCATGAATTTTGTGACACTTACAAGTTCCTCGAAGCAAACTGTGGTCATCACTCCCCTTCTGGTCATTTGGCTCCGCTGACACGTGTGGCCTGTTTGTTCCCCAGACCACGTTCTAGAATTATAGAATCTTGTCAGGGAAAGGGCAGCTCATCCAACCTTCTGTCCAGTGTGACAGTCCCAGCCAGAGCAACTGACAGATGGCAAGTTGCTGATGCATGCATGCTGTCGGCCCGGGCCACTCACTACCTTATGGGGCAGCCCTTTCGCTGTGGGGAAGCTCTAATTGTTGAGAGTTATTTCCTTTTGTTTAGCCAAAACCTGGCACTGTGATGCCCTTGGTTGAAGGCCTGGCCTCTGGGACACCATAAAGTCAATCTGCCTCACTTCCACATGACAGGTTCTGCACGGCTGAAGGCAGCATGTCCCCCTGGATTTGCTATTTCCCTGGTGGAACACCCCAGTTTCTGGAGAGCGTATCAGAAGAAGGGCAGCTTGGGTGCCCTCGGTGACTGGTTTTCACCCTGCTCGTGTCTTGCCTTCAGGTGTGACACCCAGATAGCATGGCATCCTCAGAGGCCTTGGAACCAGGAGCCAGGCCACTGGACCTGCAAGCTCAGTACTGGGTGGGCCTCAGCATCCCTTCTAGCAGCTACAGATGCCAGGGTCCTGGGCCCAGAGGATCTGGACCTGCAGTATTGGGGTAAGCACAGGAATCTGTACTTTGTGTATATGTATGTATGTGTTCATATGTGTGTGCAGGTGTATGCATATCTGTGTATACATGGAGGCCATAGGTCAAGGTCAGGTATCTTGGCTTATTGCTGTCCACATTCTTAATTATTATTTTAAATTAAAGTACATTTATCTATCATTTATTTATTTATTTATTTATTTATTTATTTTGTGTGTGTGTATGTGTGTGTGTGTGTACATGTGCCACAGTGTATGTGTGGAGGACAGAGCATAACTACTTGTGGGAGGGAGTTGGTTCTCCCCAGGGATTGGGTCCTAGGGATTGAACTCAGGTCATCAGACTTTGTGGCAAGCACCTGCTGGGCCGTCTTACTGGCCCAAGTCTAGCCATTATGAAACTTGATCTGTGCCTCAAAGATTGGTGGGTCACATTGGCCTTGGGTCCCTCTCTGCCTGTTGCGCTGGCGCCAACTCCAAATCTGGAGTGAGGAGGTGCACAGCTGTTCTGTTGTTTTTCTACGCTCAGTGTCCACTTCGGTGAACACACATTCTATATTTTATCACTATGATGGAAAAAGCTTTGTCTCTGCCTGTGCCCTGTGTGGTGTCCCACAGGCAAGGTGGGGTTGGACATGTTCCTGATGTTGCAGCGTTGACTCAAGGTTATGTCCCGTAGTGAGAGGAGCAGTCAGCTGACCAACAAAAACCACATTGCTCTTCCACAGTTTAGAACTATCCTGGGGTGGGGGGGGGGATGCTGCCCAGTCATGGGCTGTATGTCCCATCTCCTCCTGCATCTAGGAAGCACCCCCACAATTGATTCTCAGCAGCGGAATCTGAATGGAGCTGGTGGTGGAACTTCTAAGTCAAAGTGGTTAAGCATCACACAGGAGAACTGCATGCGCTCTAATAACCCAACAGAGGACTTGATGGATGTTCTAGGGACAGCAGAGCCAGGAAGGGACCTGGCTCCTTGAGTTACCACTTGGAGCAGAGTTTCCCAGAAGAACTGATGGAGCATAGCACCTACATTCCCTTCAGTTGGATAAGGAATAAACCTCTTTTGTGTGAAGCCACAATTTAGAGATCAGTTGCCAGCATCAATTACCCTAATTAGCATATACCACAGGCTCATTGTCCTCTTCCAAATGTTGTTCCCATCCCCCCACCTTTCATGGTCAAATTATATCACATGTCAATTAAGCTTCTAGTTTTAACCATTACTGAACTAGATTTGCTGGGTGACTTAAATCTGGCTGAACCGTGCTGAGCTTGTAAGAGGAGAGAGATGCTGGGTCAGAAAGATGGCTCAGTGGTTAAGGATGACTCCTGTCAAACCCGGTGACCTGAATTTGATTGCCGGGACCCACAGAGTGAAGGAGAAAACAGACTCTCACAAGTTCTCCTTTGACCTTCCCCGTGTGTATGTTCCCTGCCCTCAATAAATAAAGAGTAATAAGAAGTGAAAAACGAATGAGAGATGCGGTGGCTAGGGCTAGAAAGGCTAGTTCCATTGCTGACTGTTCTCCCTCTCATTAGTTCTGTGCACATTCATTCATTCATTCATTCACTTATTCACTCATTCCTGTTTCATCCTTCCAGCCAGAGTGTGCTGGGTTTATAGATGGGGTTGGCCCCCTTCTCTTTTGTTCCTTTGCTGGACTCAGCAGGTCAATGGATGTTCTAGATACTTCTCTTGTTTACTTTTCTCATTGTTGTGACAGATTGCCTTGTAGAAGGGACTTAAACAAGGAAAGGTTTATTCTGGCCTCACAGTTTAAGGGGGCATATGCTATCATGGTGGGGAAACCATGGGGACAGCTTGGGTAGGCTGGTCACATTGCATCCACAGTCAGGAAGGAGAGAGAAGGGCGGGCGGGCGGGGGAGCTGCTGCTCAGTCCCCTTTTTTTAGTCTAGGACCCCAGACTGTGACATGGGACTGCCCACATTTAGGGTGGATCTTTCCATCTCAGCCAAATCCAGAAAATCCTTCAGCGGCATGCCCAGAGATTTGTTTCCATAGTGATTCTAAATCCTATCAGGTTGGCAATCAAAATTAACCACCACAGTGGGAAGCCCTGCCTCCATTGTAGGTGTGGCTACTGCCCCTCTCAACAAACCTTTCCCAGTTTAAAACTGGGCACAGTGCTCTTACCCTGCAGTGTCAAAGTTGGAAACCATATGCTGTAGGCAGTTTCCTCTCTGCTGATACAGTTCATACCAGAGGGAAGGTCATTAAGACTCAGGAAATTCTAAAGGGAGGCTCCTTAAGGCTCAGGAAGCAAACAACCCACAAGTCTTAGGAAGTCCCTGAGACTGACCAGATACACAAGGCCCCTTCCTTCCTGAGTTTATATAAGTAGTAAGGACAGCTGAGGTGGCTCAGACCAGATGAGCTGCCTGTAAGTTATGTAGTGAGCCCCAGGGATTTTGCTTTCATGAGCCCATCACTCATGGGGTAGACTTTTAGTGATGCAGTTGTCTTTGAATTGTCCATGTTCCTGTAAGTAACTTCAATAAATTCACTGCCTGGTCAGTTTGGACTTTGGTGGTATTGTTACTTTGTCTGTGGTCAGACAGACGTCTGCTCATGTCTCCCCCCAAATAATGCCATGTAACACCATACCAACTATAACAGAAAGAACTTAATGGAAGGACTTGGTTAAATGAGTATAGGGAACCATGAGGGTTCTGCAATACAGTCAAGTTCTGAGGGTAGGTAATATGGGAAAGGAAGGCTGTCAGCTGTGGCCAGTGACTAAGAAAGGAGCCAGCCCCACTGTGACGTGAGGATCCATTGTCACAGCGGCCCTTGCCTTTCAGTGCTGTCTAGTGCTTCTACTGGCAGGACCTCAGGGAGAAATGTGACTTAGCCCCAGGGGCCCCACGTCCCAAAGCAGAATGTGACTGAGTACATTTGGGGCTGAGTCAACTACATAAGAACCAGTTCAGGGGTGCTAGGGAGATAGCTTAGTCCACAAAGTGCTTGCTGTGCAAGCTTGAGGACCTGAGTTCAAGTCCCAGGACCCACATGAAAAAGATGGGCTGGAATGATGGCTCAGTGGGTAACGCGCTTGCTGTGAAAAAGCTGGGTGCCATGGTGCCCATCTGGAATCCTAGCACTGGGAATGTGAAGACAGGCGGGTCCCAGGGGACAGCCAGCCTAGCCAAAATGATGAACTCCAGGTTGAGTGAGAGATCCTCCCCCCGTTCTCTCTCTCTCTCTCTCTCTCACACACACACACACACACACACACACACTAGCACAGTTGTTACCATGGCTTCTCTGTGGGGCCCCTCAAGTCAGTTGTTCCTAGTCCCCAGCTGGTGTAAGCACCGGCATCTTGGCAACACGTTGACACCTGGATGCGGGTTTCCAGGTCCCAGACGCACAACAGACATCACATGGGAGGTCGGTACTGCAGACCCTTCCTAGGAAGAACCTTACATCCTAAGTCAATCAAGTTCAGGTGCACACTGATGCTGGGGCCCAGGGCTGAGATAAGCTATATGAGTCTCTCATACAGAGGGGATTCAGGAGAGGGACCCCCACCTGGACTCTTCTAGAAGGGAACTTTTGCTTCCCATGGTTGTAGCTAAAAAGCTGGTAATATTCCACTTACTGCTGTGTGACCTTGAGCTAGTGAATTACCTCCTCCACATCTTGATTTCTTCCTCATGAAATTCCTTGGAGGGTTTTTGTGCAGATTAGGGCTAATGTATGTAAAACACAGGGCCCTGCACACTTAGACTCTGGATAAGTGGTAGGGATTATGATGGGGATTTGATATTGATCAAAGTTGTGTGTGTGTGTGTGTGTGTGTGTGTGTGTGTGTGTGTGTGTGTGTGTGTGTAGTATGTTGTGGAGGTCAGGGACAGAGAGAGAGAGACAGAGAGAAAGAGATACAGAGAGAGAGAGACAGAGAGAAGGTATAGCATGTGGAGGCCAGGAAAAGAGAGAGAGAGAGAGAGAGAGAGAGAGAGAGAGAGAGAGAGAGAGAGAGAGAGAGAGAGAGAGAATAGCATGTGGCATGTGGAGGCCAGGGACAACAAAGAGTGCTCTTCCTCAGGAGACATCCATCTTGTTTTTTGGGACCTAGAACTTGCTGATTAGGTTAGGCTGGCCGGCCAGTGAGCCCCACAGATCTGCCCCAGGGATCTGCCATCTCAACCTCCCCAGGGCTGGGGTTATTAGCATATACCACCACATTCAGATTTTTGAGTCCTGGAAATGGAACTCAAGTCTAGGTGCGTATGACAAGCGCTTTACTGGCTGAACTGTCTCCCTGGTCCCTGCCCTCTGTTCTTGATGGAGATGGCAGGGTCTCCAGGGGCAGGGGCACAGGCAGTGAGGGTGTATCAAAGCCTAGCTAGCTAAGGAGATCCTGCCAACACAGGGCGGGTGAAGGGGAACACTGCCTCATCCTGATGGAACCCTCAGAAACTCAGGCCAAAGGAAACTGCCCTGTCGAATGGGGACCAGCTTTTTAGTTCATGGGCACCAGCAGGATGGCCCTGTAGTGGCTCAGAGGAGGCAGATGGAGCTGCCCAAGCCCCATGCCTGATTTTGGGGCCGCTGCTGTACAAGTCTGGATGCAAGTGAGTGGGTGTAAAGAATGTCAAGCAAGATTCGATTACAATTTTTATTTTGGAAAAACCTTCATCAAAATATGTATATCTAATTAGGACAATTACAGCACAGGAACAAAAAACTGATTAAAAATCAGACACTCCATAAATTATAAGTGTTTTCCTCCAGCTGGGGCACATCTCTGGCTGCTGAGCTGCAAGGCCAATCAATGGAGCCAGGGCTCCGGGAGCAGGAAGGGGAGGAGGCAACACCCAGGACAGGATGGAGGGATGCTGAGTGCACACTGGGGGCTCTGATACTGCCCGAATGTAGCTCTCAGGCACAGAGGCTGGTTGATTTGCTTAGAGCAGAAGGAGCAGCTGTGGCCTTCTGAGCAGGGGTCTGGTGAGATGTGGATGTGCCTCTACATAGCAAG